GAAGCCAAGGACATGGAATATCACTCCACCCAAGGACACCCTTTATGGAATATCACTCCACCCAAGGACACCCTTTATGGAATATCACTCCACCCAAGGACACCCTTTATGGAATACCACTCCATCCCACACTATGGACAAACGACGGAGCTGAAAACTCACCAAAAATGCTTGTGGACTGTGAGACTAAATCAAAACACCTGCAAAACACCTGCACAAACATGCAAACCCCATGCACACATAAGCTGTGATGCAACTGAAACTATCAGTGCCACAGTAGTAGCAAGTGACCCACCGCCACTACATAATTATTTTATCCAAGGCTTTTATCCTTAGTGTCACACCCCCCCCAAGAAACACTTCAGAGTTTATTTTAATTCCCCCTCCGGCAGGGACCTTGATTCTAGTATAGGTCTATGTGAACACAAACTCATTCACATACATTTCTGCACTGAGACGCAAGCTCCCCCTCCTGATTTTGTACAAATTACCAACAAATTATCTTTGATCTGTGGTGGCAGAGAAGACAAAAAGTCTGTCCAAAATGCCACTGGGAATAATTAATGATTAAATTTAAATACCAACACCTTTGGTTTCCTCATTAATAAAATTTTTTACACATTTAAAGTTCGATGCATGGTTATCTTTAAATCTGACAGTTGAATAATTCAGAGATCGTAATCTACACCATGCAAATCTGACATTCAATTTTTTTTTACACCATTTTAATTTAATGTTTATAATTAACCTTTAAGCACAGTCCAGGTGTAATCTGATACTAGATAAGTAGTTACAGAAGATGGAAATTGGATGAATAGCCAGTGTATCTATTTTCATCGTCCATCTAGCTGAAATAATGCAGACTGGAAAGCAATTATGGTTGCATTCATTTACAATCATGTGGAGATTTATATACATACATACAAACAAAGAAATAAAACGTCACGAGTCCTGCGTTTCCAATATACATCCCGGCCAGTATTTCGTTAAAAGGCCAAGATACTTCACTCACCAGCGCTTTCAAGAGCCACAAATTAAAATGGAAACTTTAATGTGGTTAAGTAGCCAGGGGAAATATGATACAAACAGTGGAATGAGTAAATCGAACAATGACTCCCATTCAACAGCTACATGTCATATAAACTGAAAACTATCAAATGACAAATGATATACGTCTGACAGATCTTACGCTCGTTCGCTCATTTTTTAATGCTGATTATAAAACACTAAGGCACACTACTGCAACCTAGGAGTCTAAGTGAGGTGAGATAGGCAAATAAAACACATTTTGAAGAATATCCAGGGGGGATAAGCTTTGTCTCTGTGGGGAAGGGGTCTCATCTTCTCTCCTTTTATGCTCATATATACCACAGCTTTGCAGTCAACGTTGTAAGCAAGGAAAGTTACTGAATATGAATGTGAAAACATAGACGCTCCCTCCTGGCTAGACTCCGCTGCTGCTGAAAGATCACTTATACATCCCGAAATATCAAGTTCATCCCTGCAAGCATGCATTCCTCCACCGACACATTCCACACCGTAGTAGAGCAGTTTACAAACCTCAACCAGGTGGACAGATGATTTCCCCCACAAGTGCATTAAAATTTTACATAAATCTGCGCCCAGAAATAAAAATCTTTCATGTGATATTAATACGGAATATTAAATTATTAAGACCAGATACCAATATACAATATAGCTTCTTATTTCTGCCGCCATCTCTCATACCTTAAAAACTCCAACCCTAATTCCTTACATGTTTTTCAACCAAAGGAATAATAATAATAATTATAATAATAACAACAACAGATGTGTTATCTGTGATGAAGCTCTATCCTCTGAAATTACATTGGGCAACAACAAAACGCATTAGAAGGTATTTATCACCTTAGAAGCATCTCCAATATGAGAGCAAAATTAGGACAGAGAAATGCATTTATGTATTTGCTATAGAGCCCCCTCCGTGTTGCGTTTTCAGTCGCTCATCAATACTCAGCTTAACTGTTTGGAAAAACCATCCATCGATCCATTTTCCACCTACTGTACTCAGGGTCATGGTGCTAGTTACTATTCCAATTATTATTATTATTATTATTATTATTATTATTATTATTATTAGGGTTTATGATGGCCCAGTGGTTGTTTCAAACCACCTGGCTATAAAACAGCCAAATACAATCACTTCCTTATAAATCATACACTGACGAGTTTACACCACGACTGCAAACAACAAAGTGTAATAATCAATGAACGGACTTAAATGGAACTGTGTTTAATAGGAATGTGTGGAAGTTAGGGACCCCCAAATTAACTTTCCTTTTAGTATTTAAAAATGGCATCAATTAAGACAATTAAATAATTGTGCGACTACTTGTCTTACAATATTAACGGTAATAATATTTTAATGTGCTAAACCATACTCACCGAAAATGCAACAGGGGAACGTAATCCTAGGTACAATAGTAAGACGAAAACGCCTTGCATCCTATTTTGGTCTTGTTTATTGTCTGTTTAGAAATTCCACGGTTGGGTATTGTGTGACCGTTGTGAGCGCTTATAGCCAAATAAACTAATTGTGATTGTTCCTTCCAGCAGTTTCAAAGAGTGCAAGTCGGTCGGCAATGGTCGCTCTATCAAAATGTTCTGCTAAAGTCAGCCCGCCCCCATTGTGCAAGGTGAGTCGACGAGACCCACCCTAAAATCAAAAAATTCGGCATTTCCGCCTCCACCTACAAGCCAAAAGAATTTAAAAATTCTTTTCCCTTTGTAACTTCATCTGAAGCATTCACACTGACATCAAATAAGGAAGCTCTTAGCAAACGATGGGAAACCATACAAGTGGTTTCTTTGAAGCATTAATACTACAACGGTAATCAAAGGAAAAACTGAAAGATCATTGACAGACGTAGTACAAATGTAACGTATCATCTTACAATGTAAAATGTAATGTATCGATAACCTGCGTTGGTAAAAGTTAGAATAAATGTAGAAATTAACAAATTCAATAACACTGTATAATTTGCAATGGATAAAAGACATATTATCAATTCAATATTGTGTTATAATGCTAAATATATTATGAATCTAGATGAGTTAATTTCTTCTAATGCCTAAAGGGGGTATTATTGGTTTTATAATTGGCAAAGTTGACGATCCCTTCCTTAGTTGGGGACGGGGAGGATCGTAAAAGGGCGTCATTTTCATTCGGATTTTAACTGAGGATCTCGTCAAGAAGTAAAGGTGATGGCCATGTTTTTTCCAGATTGGACCCCATCCATCCATCCATCCATCCATCCATCCATCCATCCATCCATTCGCTTATCATGGTAAAAACCGTCTTTGCTAATAAAAATTTCTTGTCATTTTAGCTCCTTGTTAAACTTATTGTACCTCGGTTAATTATTCACTACATAAAATGGCTGCAGAGAGAAGCAATGTCTAAAGACATACAGGACAAGATTTCCTTTAAGAGTGCCCTTTCAATTTTGGGACGATAGCTCCACCTAGTGACTATATCTCTACAATTCAACACAGTTATTCAAGACAGTTTAATTATATGACCGATAACGAGGTCTCCCATGTTACACGGCCCATTGAAAATATTTAACTAGAATATTTTGTATATACATACTGTATTACCGACGCTCCACCTTGCCAGTGGAAATCAATGTGCCCCTATTGACGCAAACAGAAGCCTCGTTGTCATAAATCCCACCCACAATCTCAAATTTAATATACTCATAGTCAAATATAGGTCTAGTGATATGATTGAAGTATAATCATTTAATTACACTGGAATCCTTTTATAATAATTAATTTAAATAAATCTATTAGAGGTGAGCTCGTACAACAAACTATAGATATAAAGGTCCAATGAACTGGATATAAAGATTAAACATTACAATTAAAACACGTTTCTGAAACGCAAACGGTATGAAAACAACAATATATAAGCTTATGAAAATAATTATTTGTTTGTAATTAGGTCTTTCAGAGTTTGAAGCAGTTGTTCAGTAAATATTTATTGTGTGCGATTATAAATCCAGTTTTAGGCCCCCAAGCCAGTGAATAGCATATGGTTTAGGCTAAACAAGGCTTAAAGAAACCTCGTACCAGCATTAAGTTAAAAACAAATAATATCGAATGCCACGAAGGCCTGTTCAACTTATTAGACAATTTTCTACCACTGAATCATACAGGTAGGCCTATAGCTTAATTAGGCCTATATTAGAACACATTTCATATCGATGTGAAAGTATCGATGTAAGTACAACTCAGAAATCAGAACTTACGTGACTGATTTGGTGGAGCGTAACACGTAACAATATCTTTCATGAATGTTTATTTTATTTTGCATGCTAGCCTATAATTAAGATTTAAAGTAATGTTCACGGCCATTCTCGAGGAAAATGAAAATTGTTCCTTAAAAATCTAAGCCTATATTAATCAGCAGGCTAATGTTTTTTAAGATCAATGACGTGTTTGATTTGAATGCTTTTAAAATATAAATGCCGGCAATTTAATTAAAACACACTATATTCGTCTGAGTAAAGTCTTTGATGTGCTGAGGTTCTCTGGATTTTGTGGATTGGTCTTTCGCGTAAAGCCTATATATATGTACTGTGAAACCGAAACTCACGTAGAGCCTAGTTTTCATTTCTACTTATTTATCCTTACGTTGCAAATATTACTTGTTTTATGCTCTTTCAGTTATAAAACTGGATAGGGGAACCGCTTTTAAATCTTAAGAAAACTTTGTTATTTAGGCGTAATATATTCCATATCTGGTTCCTTGATGCCGCTGTATATTTTTATGTAAGGTAACATTAAGTAATCATCAATCTATATACCCAGGCGTTTATCCTGGAGACGATCGAGGTGAAAGTTACGATGTGGCAGTTCTGGGCTATTGGATTATCGTAGGAAAAAGATTTTAACCTCTGAAACTCTTGATACTTTATTTGCTAAGCAAGGAGCGGGCGGTACTTTACGTATGCTGGAGTCCATAACGACACGACCACCCTAAGTCACGTTCTGTCTTCCCTTTTCAACATAAATTTAATAAGGAACAGAAAAGAAAAAACACCGATCTTTTAATATTGTAATGTTTCGTAGCCCATCCGAAAGAATTTATCTAGTATTTTACATTCCGACAGTTGTGTTATTCTATTTGAAAAATCTGGATTATCGTGAATACAAACATACTGCCTTAGTCTGCCACGCTGCGTTACCAGTAAAAACAATGCACCCCCTTTGACTGAGGCAGAAACCTCGTGGCAGTAAACCACACCCTGTACTTGTAAAATCCGCCTCCTTTCTTTGCGTGAAACATACTGACCCAATCAGCTCTCTTTTTTATGAATAATGACATCATCACCCTCTTTCCGATTGGGCAGCTATATTAAGAAAGCGGCTTCGCGCTTAATAAATGGAAACTCATGGGTCTGGGTTATAAACAGAAGGGAACTTGAGAATAAAGCGTTGACTGTTGTGTGGTAACTCTTTGGCAAGAAACACCGCCTCGCTGTGCCGTTAGATCCCGGCGGCAAGGAAGACATTTTATTGAATAGCGATTGTATTCTTTCTTTGTTGTTGTTTTATTTATTTCGTCTTCCTGGTGCTGAGGCAATGGCTGCAATCCGTAAGAAACTTGTGGTTGTCGGAGATGGTGCATGTGGCAAAACCTGTTTGCTGATCGTCTTCAGTAAAGATGAGTTTCCTGAAGTCTACGTGCCTACGGTATTTGAAACTTACGTGGCAGACATCGAGGTGGACGGCAAGCAAGTACAGCTGGCTCTTTGGGATACAGCCGGTCAAGAGGACTACGACCGCCTGCGCCCTCTATCTTACCCGGACACCGATGTCATCTTGATGTGCTTCTCCGTGGACAGTCCGGACTCGCTGGAAAACGTCCCCGAAAAGTGGGTGCCGGAGGTGAAGCACTTTTGCCCCAACGTGCCAATCATTTTGGTCGCTAACAAGAAGGAGTTGCGCAATGACGAGGCGATCAGGAACGACCTGTCTAAGCTGAAGCAGGAGCCGGTTAAACCGGAGGACGGGAGAGCCATGGCCGCTCGCATCGGGGCGTACGACTACCTGGAGTGCTCCGCAAAAACCAAGGATGGAGTACGTGAGGTGTTCGAGACCGCCACCCGAGCCGCCCTGCAGAAGAGACCCAAGACGATCGGCGGGTGTATGAAATGCTGCCGGCTGTTCTGAACTTATGCATCAACAAAAATACTGACAAAACTTCAAAAATCAATCAAAGAGTCTAAAAGGCTCACCGCGTCTCGTCATCATTGTAGAAGAAAGCGAGGCTGTCTACTTGCTTCTGGCAGGCATGGGAATGGTGACGAGAAGATGAAGGATCGGGATCGGCGCCCTGCATCGTTTAACCTCGGAGTGGATAAAATGCCGACTTTGTCATTAAGCACTGATGTAAGCTTCCGCAGTGTAGGCCGATCAGACCTACCACAGTGAAGTGCGTCTGTGTGGAATATCGTGCAATACGGATCGGGTTTACTGACCTTTACTAGTTTATTGATGTTTTAAATATATGATGAATTTTGCAGGAAAAAACGGATAGTCTTAATGTTACCTTTCAAGTGTGGCTGAGCCATGTGTATTAAAATGTGGGAGTGTATAAGTGGCCTTTTGAATAAGGGAGAAATTAACGACAACGTTTGGTATCCCGGTGGGCTGAATGTTGGTTTTGGTTAAAGGTGTTGCCTCATGAATCTGTACACAAGGTCTTAGTGCTTCTACAATGTGCATAGGCATTAGTATTGAAATAATATTACCAATTCTGAACTATGAATTGTGTAAAGTCGTAAACGGCTCTCTTCCTTAAGAATGGTGCCATTTGAGCCTGCATGTTTGCACTGTATGGAAAGTTTGGTTTAATTACTTGCTCAAACACATTTGAATACTTCTGTGTAAAGAATGTGTTTATTACTCTTTCCCAGAGATTAGGAATTGTTTTGTCATTGTATGATATTTCTTAACAGGTTACGTTCATAAACCTTTGCTCCAAAATACAGCTAAGAATGAATTGAAGTACAGTGAGGCACAACATTTCAAGAGATACAGAATTGTGTATACAACTTTTCTAAATTAAAAAGTAAATTATTAAAATCACTGGAATTCTTTGTTTCATCCCTTTTTAATAAAGTTTGAATATTTGATATATTTATCAGCTGCATGTTAACAAATGTTTTGTTTTCCTCTTCATTCACTGAGTAATGCAACAAGTGGTAGTGAAAGTGGTTTCTCTGATGGACTGGAATCCTGTCCTGGGTTGTTCCCTGTTTCAGGTAAGTGTCAGGTTCACTGTGACCCTGTACTAGGTGAGAGTTTTGGAAGTTGGTTGCATAAATAATTTAACCAAAAAGAATATGGGTTTGTCCTCTTACACAACTGGGCAGCTGTGTGCGATCACATGGCTTTTGGGCCACTGGAAAAAATATTGACTCTGAGTCATAGTTAATGGAATCGGTTCCTTAAAATGTGGAAAATAAATATTCAAGAAATTAGACTATGAGACAACTGTATTTATTGTGATTCCCACAAAAGATGCTGTCTACAAAATCAACACTTAACTGCACGCTGTCTGTTAAACCAGATCATACATACATAAACTAAACAGCTGAATC